TCGTGCACAGCACACCTCAAGTCCGTTAAAGTAATAAAGCCTCGAGTGATTGCATTTGGCAACAATATGATAAGCGCAGAATAAGCCTCTGTTTTTACGCTACTTGCCTCTCCAGTAATCACGATGACTTCCTGTTGAATACTGTTAGCTCGGTCCAGCTTTAACAACACCGCATTAATGTATCACTAAGAATACAATTAAAAAGCAAATTACGAACGAGGTATAACTAAATACTATAGTAGCTGACCTACATCATTAAATATTATTGGAAGTTCTGAAATATGTCACTTTTATAAGCGATTACTTAGATTGGGTTGTAATATAGATGATCGTACAAGATAATCGCAAGATAGTTCAGTTCCGTCAGAATGACGGTTATTGGATGAGCCGCTTTCCTGTCACTTGCAAAAACCACACTCGATAAAAATACTACTCACAAAGTAGTATTTACTTCCAATTATATTCCATGAACACACACAAACACAAATATTTTAAAAAAATGTTTACAAATATTCTTTAATAGAACACCACGTTAAATTTTGCACTTAAAGAAAGTCTATCCTAAGGTTTTTAAAAAAAACTCAATTCCCGATAGATTTTGAACCAAACCTGTGCTCAGGGTTTCCAAAATACATGTTGTATACTTTGGTAAGAGAATCATATATTTTTCCACGCTATGAAGATGTCATATAGAGCTCAAAGAATGTTGCGACGTTGCATACCTTATAATCAGCATTAATATGTGGGCAGACATGATGCTCTATGGATGGATTAGTAAATCTCGCGAAAGTTTTTCATAGCCGAACGACACTCCTTCTTCAAATATCCTTTTTGAAGGTGTAAGTTGCCACTAAATGAGTACAAAGAAGAATATTTTGTGCATGTTTTCTGTCAAATATATTCAAAATAACACTGTCATTGAAAATCAGTGGTAGAAGTTTATACTCCTTTAGTCATTTTTTGCCGTCTGATTTTGCAAGTGACAGAACAGTGGTCCATTCAAGAGCCTGCATTCTGGCATGATCTAAACATCTCCAGATTATGCGGCACGATAATCATACTTACGATCTTCCATAACTAATACTTTCAAGTCGAAAACACGGTGCAGAATGTAGGTTAACATTTCGTGAGGTAGGCCACCTACTGTACTACCGCAACTCACAACCAAAATTACCCTATCAAAAAATTTGTCTGGGGAAAAAATCTGAAACTCTAAGTCGTTTTGTTCAAAACTTTTTAGTCTTTCTGAGACCGTCTTAGGACCGACAGTAACTGCGTTCACGGTAAGAACTGTCAAAAATTGGGGGTAAAATCAAATAAAAACCTTGTTCGCTGGGGACGGGTGCTGGTGGCTGCCGGACGACATGCCTTGAAGGAGGTACGAATTGCGTCGGCGTCGAGGTAACTGAACGGGTTGTCGGTTTACGGCTAATTGAATTAGGAGTTCCGGGGTAGTCCAGGGTCCGTGGCCGAGGTTTCAAATCACCTGGCGGCTTGGAAGACAATTCAGTAGGACGAAGGACGAATTCGAATTGTTTAGGGTGATCTCCTAATCTTTTAAGACGCAGAAAGACGCATAACAGAAAACAGCGTTAAGGAGAGCAGAGTTTGATAACTAATCATTTGATATCATAAGGCGGTGTCCAGGATATAAATATGTTCCGCAGAAAGTTTTAGTAATTACCTCCAAAATGTGTGATAGAAAATCAACGTTTGTGAAAAACGGCATAACGTAAACCGATAGACAAACCGGCGATGTGCACTAAACTAAGCACCAAACAAAGCTTGCAATAGCGACAATCTTGAAACTCGTGGCACACCGTGCTGGGATGACTTTATTTTTCGAAATATTTAACTACGATGCAACATTTTAAAGGTGGACATTTGAAATTCGCAAAACGTTCTCAGGAAGGCCATTCTTTATTAGTGGTTGACAGGATTTAAACCCGACCTGTTTGCGGCAGACTTTTTATTGCTTCCAGAAGCGGGCTTGGCACAACAATCTTCGAATTCACGTATATTTTCTAGTGAGAGAAAAACAGGAACCCACATTTAGTCATAAGTATTCATATTTAACAGAACGGTCTTAAATGGCGCAACGTTTTGGCACCTCGAAATCGCGACCAGTATGGGCAACATGCAATTTCGTGACAACAATATTTGAGGAATTTGCTTATGCAAAATCTATCCAAAGGGTTTACCTATAAGTCCAGCCATAAATGTGCCCCACTATAAGATTCTCCTAAGACAGTTCCCGAGTCAGCAACACATTTGTCCGCTTTAATGGACTAGACATAAAGCAGGGCATTTTTTTGAATTGTGCAGTCGACAGTCGAGCACTCGCCGACAAATAATAGGGGTGATTGGGTAGTTTGCGGTTCAAGGAGCTTTCAGGCGCTCACAGGCTTCGAAAGCAGCTTAGGCTAGGATGGGGCTTATAAATGCAATTTAAAATCGAAATTTTCAACAGTTCATTCGGAGCAAGCGACGTGGCAGCTTTTGATGGGACGAATCTCTCCGAATCTTTTCTCATTAAAAACAAATTGTCGCAGCCGATTTTCTACTTGTGTGTAAGCTCTGGGTTTCTGTTTTTTAGTGTTTAGAATAAAAACT